TTGCAGCGTATACATCAGCGGGCTACTGCCACAGTGAGTGAGACTCATGATGTGGACATGTATGGACAGACTCTGACAGACATTGCCTCCTTGTGTTCAGATGTGTTGGGGCGAGTTGACTACGGCCATCTTATACACATGCCCCCATCACAGGAGATGCCATCGACGTCTAGTGCAGCGGCGGCTTCATCATCCCAGACGCAGCATGAGAGAGTGGTTCTTCAACCACGACCACGACGTAGGCGTAGACATCAGCAGCAACATCTCCATGACCACGATGATCAAGATGATCATGAAAACTTGTAGTTTGCCTTTTTGTATTGGAGTTTTTCTTGCACAGTAGATGTTGTAGGAACAATTTACAACATTTTACGTATTTTCTCTTCTAAACTTTTGTATGTTGTCTTCATGTGTTCGAGTATGAATATTAGATGATTACTTGTATGTTGTTGAGAGTAGGTGTTATGTATGTGTTTGTGAACATGTGTGTTGTATGTTTTAAATGTGTTGTATCTGGCTCGTAACACTTAAACAGGAGAAGAGAGACCTTATTTATAGCAAACAGACGTGTTTGGGTTGAACTGGGGCAAAAAAATGTTGAAATTCTATTTACGGAATTAGGCAGGATCGTGCCCCTTGCAGGCATGATCGTGCGTGGCTGGCAGTAGCTGCTGGACTGCGTTCATATGGAAGGGAAAGTCGCCCAACGGTTGGGCGACTTTTCCTGACCATGGTTAAATCCAGCAGTAGATCGGTAAATACTTTTTTTCCAGCATTATTTTCGTAATTAATTAATTAATTAACATTAATTCGAAAAAAAACTCGGGTATGCTATCACGTGCATTTAAGTATATAAAAAAGTGCAATAGCATATCACACTTTTCAAAATTTTACACTGATACTTTTACCCAAAATAAAATGCACTTTAGACATGTGCATTTAAATATAAAGATGAGTGCATTATTGTCTCACACTTTCTTAAATTTTACACGGGCATTGAAGTGCAGTTATAAAACTAAAAGGCGCAACATATATAGTTATATTAATACAATATTTAAATAAAATGTAGAGCATAATAATAAATGTGAATGCATTTTAAAATAAAGTAGAAGATATATTTAAACATAAAGTGATTAATTAAATGATCGAGCTTTTTTTACAAAATATGAAAAAGGAATTTAAAATGATGAAGGTGTGAAAGAATCAAATGAGATAAAGGAATTTATTTTGATTGGCCTAGCAAATTGAAAAATAATTTGATAAAAAACTCCTTTAAGAACTGTAAATCAATAAAAATAAATGGGATGATTGGCGATGCAAGATTATAGGGAGTTAGTTATGGAAACAATGGCAAAGTAACCGTGTAACTTTAATATGGTGCCTAATTCTCTTATTTGCCCTTAATGAAGTATCAAAAGATTTCAAGATCGGACGACTATAAATCATTCTCATTTCTCTCCTAAGATGGTTTTTGTCACACGATCTCTACGTTCTCTCTCTCCCTCTCCCCTCTCTCTCTCTCTCTCTCTATATATATATATATATATATATAATTTGATTCAAATACTAAACAACTATAGTCTATAGATGTAAATTAGACCTATTTTATTATTGATGTGAGAAATAGAAGGACAATATCAAAGCATTATGATGTTGTTATAATTTAAAGAAGTTTTAATTTAATATGCTACAAAGTATTAAAAGTACAAAAATTGCATTTGAACATTTTAAAAGTGTGTAATTGTACAAAATAAAGTATGTATAACTTTAGAAACATGTAACATTTTACATGCACTTAACATATATCAATGCGCACACACACTCATATATAACAAGCACTCTATATCATAAGACATTGAGCGTTAAAATTTGAAACGATTACAATTTTAGCGCCACATTTTTTATGAGTAGTTAACCTCATCCATATAGGTTTAAGCAATGAAAAAAAAGTAATGAAAAATCTAGATTTGTTCTTATTTTTCATTGTTTCTATTGGAACTAAAACTTACACACACAAAAGTTTAAATAAGAAAATCTTAGAAACTAAATGACAACGTATATTCTCTACGTCCCATAAAATTTTTTTATCTTAGAATTTTTTGGTCAACCAAGTTCAACTTCGACCAATGATATTTTTATAGAAAGTTATTTATAATATAAAAATGATATGAAAATATTCTTTGTTAAAAGTACTTTGATTTAAAAGTATAAAATTGAGGAAATGTACAAAAAAGGTACTTGTGGTTGGATCTGTTTTCAGATAGGGTCATATGATTCATTTTTTAACAAAGTTGGTCATGTGTTTAAACTTTGTTATCATAGGAGGGTCCTGACGCCTAACATCGTTAAAAACACCAGAGAAAGATGATGAATAGTACCTCCGATTTTCAAAAGTGTCTAAAGATTTAGAAGAAAAATACAAGAAGATGCGGCTCGTCAAAATGACCTCCAAATCATCTTTGTCTTTGGATTTTTCGGATCTGTTTGGATTATTTTTTTAAAAACGAATTCGCTAATATCAGTTTTCTGGTGGACTTCCCAGTGACAAGGGTTGCTGGGTGGAAATAAAAAAGAAAGATGGCCTAGAAGTCATCTTGTTGAGGTGCACCTCTCAGTATTTTCTTTGAATTTTCCGGCACTTTGAAAATTTGACCGGAGTTACTATTCATCGTCTTCCTCCTACGATTTCTTATGGCGTCAGGCACCAAGACCCTCTTGTGATTATGAAGTTTAAACACATGATCCACCTTGTTAAAAAAATGAAACACATGACCCTAACTGAAAATGGGCTAACCACATGTATCTTTTCTGTACTTTTCCCTAAAATCTATAACTTCCCAAACATTATACTAATCAAAATCATAGTCTAAACATTACCACCATTGACTTGGAAAGTCAAAGATGACAAAGTTTTATGGGACATAGGTAGTTTAAAACATTGAGTTCACGATACAAACGGAAAAACAATGTCAACATAAATAAAATGTCTTTTAGGTTACTGCGATATATGAAATGTAAAAACAAGCACACAATGAGTAACTAGTGACAACAAGGCCTAGACTTCAACTTACCACACTCAAAAAACCTTACCAATTGTAGTGTCAAAAGACAAAAATAAGTCAATTCAACAAGGTTTTATGATATACAATCAATGTGGTTCACTTCCCACTGGTCTTTATGAGACAATAGTATCACCATAAGTTAAAAAAATACCTTATCTCTGATTTTGTGTTTATAATTTTATAGTATTATAATATTAAAGGCTAACAATAATTTTTTTAAAGTCGATTTTAATGTTATAAAAAAACAATACAATGCGAGAAAGGAAACAAAGGAAAGACACAATACAAAAAAGAAAAAAAAAAAAGAAAAGCTAGTCCCAAGGGAAATTTCTGGACTGAGACCTATGCCTCATGTTGTGTCGTCTCTTGTTCTTCTGCGATTTCCTATAAATCTTGAGTTGTGTGTTCAAGTTGTCTGTTGGCAGGTAGTTTTCCGAGGTGATGAAGTTTCATATTTTAATTATGATTAGTGTTCAAAGGTATAAATGAAGTTTCATATTTATAAGTTTATTTATTTGGTTTGATTTGCTTTTGAAAAGTCAAAATCAAAGTTGAATCAAACAATTATGGTTCAGTTGTTTGCATTTATTTTATTTGTTATGTTCGAATTTATCACGATTGCGGTTCAATTTTCTCGATTTTATTTCTAGAATATGATTTCTTGAACCCGTCCTACAATATATTGCTTGGCTGATCAAGTTCATGTGCAATTCTATTTAAATATATATTAGCATTGATTTTGGTTAAGTGTGAGTTTTCATTTTTGTCACTTTAATATTTTGAGTGTTTTATTTTTATTTTAGTTCTTGTTGCTGAGTGTTACTGCCTCATCATGTGAGTTTTCAAACATCAAGATTTTCAAGTTTTAGGGAGTCATCTCCCACCTCCTGCGAAATCGACTTTAGAATCTTCTCTTCTATAAACACAAAGAGTTTTGAAAGATGGGGTGATGTTCTGTTTTATGTTTCCGATCTTGTTTAACTTCTACTTTCGAGGGTTTCTGTCCGACGTCTTCTTTGGCCGAGGGTTTTGGTGAGGTGTCTTCTTTGGCCGAGAGTTTTGTCCGCTTCATGTGAGCGTGTGGTATATTTTTCTTCTAGCGATCTGCGGATTTCTCATCGAAGTAATCGATCCGGTGAGTTTTCGTTGTTCATGATTGGCAAAGCTTTTTCAACTGTGTTGTTTTGAGGGTTCAGTTATTCACCCTCCACCTGAACCGCCGCCTCGCTCCGGGAAAATGAAAACACTCAACTGGATCTCCTTTTCGGTGGCTGGTCAAACCGATGATTCAGACAATTTCGATTCAATAGAGTTTCCTTTGTTGGTTGATGGTCAAATCAATTTTCCCTTTTCGGTGACGGTGAAGCCAATTTTTTTATTTGTAGTTTTTTGTTTTTTTATTTGGAGTATCAAGTGTAGCAATGCTATTAGATTATAGACTACATTATTGCGGGGTTAACGATTTGAAATGATTCATGAGATCTTTTCCATTTAAAGACTCATTCCATTGTAGCCTTAGTCTATTCACCTACTTGATTCTTTGCTATTATTTGATACGAATAAATTTGTTATTTGATTTTCAAAAACATTTTCAAATTTTTAAATTGGTCAGTGGTTTGGTTTGCTCATTTATAAAGTGACCATATTTTTATGGGATCAGTTTGTGGGCAGGTTGATTGAATTGCAAGAATCTAAATATTGAGGGAAGAGATAAATAAGTGAAAGTAACAATTTAACCAACATTTCCAAACCTTTTTAATTTGTTCCCTGGAGCGTAAGAATTTAATCTGCCCGTTTTGTATTTTTTAATCTTTTAAGACAACAAAATCAAAATTGTTGTTTGACACAGTACTTGTTTCAGTTTTCTTCCATGTATAAAGTATCAACTTGTAAAAGTTGGAGTGGTACTATACCAGTATACCTATCCGTAGAGATGTACTTTGTATTACTCCAAAAATTTGCGGAGTAGTATATAAATATTTTTCACTCGAAACTGAAACTGCAGACCCAAGGCCAAACCTGAAAGCGCTCCAATGGCGGCTCACAGTGAAGAACCAAAGAGAAGAGGCAAGAGGAAAAGAGATCAAACCCGTCCTAAACTTCTCCTCGGGGAGAAAGTTGAGGTAACTTACAGTTTCTTTGACTTGCTGTGTTAAAAAATCCGATCTTTATGTGTGTATCTGTGTATCGGTCAAATGTGAATTTCTTGATCAAGGGTGATTGGGTTGTGTAAATTTCTTGAATTTTTATTGGTATTTCATGATCATTCCTTCAACCTGTATTCTCATTTTATTTTCATTCGCACACTAAGTCTATAATGCTGAAGTGGGGAATTGGGGGATTTTTTGGTTCTACGGATGCATGCTGGTTTTATTGATTTTTCATGCAATTTGGGGTTTCAATTTACACGGATTAAAGCATAATTCAGATATCAACCCACCCCAAATACTTTCTTATCTGGATTGTGATTTATTGTAAATCGGCAAAAGAATTAGACATTCAGATGCCCTTATGTATGGTGCATATTTGTGAATTTCTCTTAATCTTAGGTATACACTGCCACTTTTCCATTCCTGGAAATTTAGATTTTTCACAAGCATATCAAACATATGCAGGTGAGGTCTTTTGATGAAGGGTTCCTCGGGTCATGGCACATGGGTAAAGTGGTCTACTGTAAAAAATCATTACGCCATGTGCAATATGACCACCTTCTATGTGATGATGGATCTTGCAGCTTGACTGAAATAGTTAGGGTCAGCCCGTTAATTGAAGGTGTCAAACCTGCTCAGTGGGACCCAAATAGTCATCGTGGTGTGATCAGACCTTTGCCACCTTCATGCAATTTCAGTAAATCAACACCTCCTCAGTATGGACAATGTGTTGATTCTTTCATTCATGATGCCTGGTGGGAAGGTGTGGTTTTTGACCAAGAGGATGGTTCTGAGGAGAGGAAGGTCTTTTTCCCAGATCAGGGTGATGATATGATGATCCGTGTTGATAACTTGCGGATAACTCTAGACTGGAATGAGCTTACTGAAGAATGGAAGCCACGAGGAAACTGGGGATTTCTTGAAATAATCAATGAAGTAAAGAAAGAATCTCCCCTATTCGCCTCGGTGAAGCAAATATGGTATGAAGTCAGGGAGAAGAGTGAAAACAGCAATCCAAAGGAGTGGACTTTCTGTGGAAGAGAATACTGGAGGGAGTTGGTATCACATGTAATATTTGACAATCTGAAGATAACCGTCAATCAGTTCTTAGGGATATTGAACTCCTCAGAATGTTTTGTACAGGATGGACCGCTTCTGGAAATTTCTGAACCCGTTCTCAAGACTATCATGAAACCAGAAACATTTCTCAGTGCTTCCGGTCATCAAATTGTAGTAGTTCCCGAGCATCTTCTGCCTAATGTTGAGAGTGGTTCAACTAGTCAATATGGAGAACAGAATCACTGTGAAAATCCCAAAGTTCCCCCCAGTAAGAAGCTAAGTTCTTCTAAACGGAAAAAGTATAGATCTTGGAACTGGGTTCCTTTGGTTCTTGAACCAGAATTTTGCCCTGATGCAATTATTCAGTTCAGAAAAATGTCTATGCCAAGGAAGCCAGACATACTCACAAAAGTAAGGAAACATCTTACACATTTGGGCTGGAAAATCAAGCAGTCAAACAGTGGACGTAACTCTAGGTTACATTATCTTTCACCTTCTGGGAAGTCATATGTATCGCTTCATAAAGCTTGTAATGAGTTAGAAAAGGCATCCGAACCACGTTCTGTCATTCACAAAAAGAGAAGTCGTCGCGGTTTTACTGATATATCACCTGCACAAGGATTCCTCTGCCTGACCGATGGAACCACAGCATGCACCGTACCTGAGGATTCTTCAGAAGTTGTCATTGATTCTCAGTACTGCCCTCAAGCAGTGAGTGACTATATGTTTTCAATGCGAAAAGAAAATGGTACTCCCAAAAGAAGGGGAAATCCAAAGTTTATTGATGAAGCTAGGAAGCATCTGGTTTTTTGTGGATGGAGAATCTTTAAGTATTGTAAAATGTTCCGCTTTTTGTCTCCTAATGGACATTCATGCTATTCACTTCTAGCAGCTTGTAAATATCATGTTATGCAGAGTGAAACCAAGAACAATATAGTTAATGTAAATGTTATAAAATCTCAGAAGGCCATACCGGTTGACAGTGAGGTTTTCAGGCCGAGTAAAGTGAGAACAAAGAGAAATGTATTCAACCAAGAATCGGTAGATGCTAATCTAGAAACTACTACTTCAACTCGCTTGAAGAGATCAAGTAAAACTGTAGTTTCTTCTGCTCACAGAATGCCACGTAATATCTTATCTTGGTTGATAGACAATGAAGTGATTCGTCCAGAGACGACAGTGAGATATTGTGGAAGGAAAGATGGCCGGTCATTGAAAGAGGGGAGCATAACACGGGATGGGATCAAATGCAACTGTTGCCTGGAAGTTTATAGTATTACTAACTTTGAGGTTCATGCAGGAAGCACCAATCACAGGCCTTCTGCCAATATCTTTTTGGAAGATGGGAGATCCTTACTCGAGTGTCAGTTCGAGATGAAACAAAAACTTAGTGTAAATAAAACAAAGATAGTGCATGAAGTTCGAGATACTAATCAGAATGACCATATTTGCTCTATCTGCCATGATGGCGGTGAATTAATTCTGTGTGACCAGTGCCCATCCTCATTTCATACTAGTTGCCTAGGGTTGAAGGTATCATCTGCCAAATTTATTTACATTATTTGTTATACTTCTATACGAGTCATGCATGTAGTCCTAACGAACTAAGGAAAGAATAAAAAAGAATATACACAACTAAGGGTTGTTGATGTTTTACTGTATTTCATGCTTGATCCATTGATTCTAATATCTTGTGTATTATATTGGAGTCTATAATAGTCAAAACCAAGATACTGGTGGAACAAGGAAGACATAAAAAAACCATTCCATAAAGTGTTGCTTTTAAGATTCTTTTTGTTCTCAAATAAATTTTATTTTGGAATATTAAGAGAGCAATACTTGTTTTCTTTCCCATTACCGTTGTGGCCTGACCCATCCATAAATGTTACCTCCTCCCCAAAGAAAGATTTATGTTTGACTAATCTACAAATTTTTTATTTTGTAAGGTACAATTTTCATAGTTTATCAAGCATACATGTACTTTTAAAGTTATTTGTTAGTTTAACAAACTTTATTATCATATGTAACTTGTTGTTTTTGGATTTGTCTTGACAAACTAAATGAAAAATTAACCTCTTCTGATCAAACAGACCCTCATTTATTACAAAAAGAGAAGTGCTTGGAACAAGACTTTGGGAAGGGGAGGGGAGGGGTGCATGTGCTGAAATGTTACTAGGGGTGGGGTATTCTGTCATACTCAGTACTTAATACTTTAGTATTTTTACCTTGACTTTACAAAAGCTTATTACTTAATTAACATGTGTGAGAGCATCTAATATGATAGTTTAAAGGAGAACAGAGGGGTACCATTGATATTTAACTGCATGTGCTTCATCAGGTTGTTCCAGACGGTGATTGGTTCTGCCCATCATGTTGTTGTGGAATCTGTGGCCAAAGCAAATTCAATAAAAAGCCAGATGAAGTCACAGATGAAAGCATTCTCTATTGTCATCAGTGTGGTCATCAATGTAAGCACACTTTCTTACCCATTTATCATTTATAGTCTTGCACCTCGTTGATTTATCATTGCAATCATGACATTGTTGCAGATCATTTTGGGTGCGTCAAAGTCAGAGATAAGTGTTTCTTGAAGCAAGACAGTTATCCTGTGGAAAATTGGTTTTGCAATAGAAGATGTGAACGGGTACATCAAACATTTGTATACTTCATTATATGCTGCATTTGTTTTTTGTTTGTAGTGGAATGCTAGTTGTTGCTTGAATGGACTTGGTGTATTAGGTAACTTGACTTAAAAAATCTTTCCACATAATAACAAAACATCCACGATGGCAATATGTGGTCTTTAACTCAAAGTGTTTAATGCTTCACAAAAGATGTTGATGTAGTAGCATGACTCGCTATGACTTAAGTTATTGATATTCTTTGCAGATTTTTTCGGGACTTCATCAATTTGTGGGAAAACCAATATCAGTGGGAACTGATAAGCTAACTTTGACATTTCTGAAATGCACTAAATCAAATGATTCTGCCACTGAGAATGAGTATATGACAGAGAATTATGGCAAACTTGGTGTTGCCCTTGATGTGATGCATGAGTGTTTTGATCCTATCATAGAATCTCGAACCCGGAGGGATATCATGGAAGATGTTATCTTTAGTAGATGGTGAAGTTAATGCTTTTAAGAAATCTGCGTATTATGTTTTCTGCTTATATTTATTATGACTTGTGAATATCTTTAGTAGATGGTGAAGTTAATGCTCCTAAGAAATCTGCATATTATGTTTTCTGCTTATATTTATAATGACTTGTGAATTTGTGATCACTCTATACTTGTGACTAAGAATTGAATATAGTTATTTTTATGCCCTTGCATACTAGATTACTAGACTCATAATTTAACAGTTAAACTGAATGCTTTATTATGGAGTTGCATACTCATCTGGAACTATAGATTTTTTTTTTCCACTTTTTCACTCAGAATTATTAAATGGTTTCCAACTTTTGGTGCCCGCCTCTTCCACTTATTCAATTTCCATGCAACTTCCTGCGGATCTTTGCTGGATAAGTGGCAAGGAGTCCATAGTTGTGCACCACATGTGGATAACAGGATTTTGGAGGGCTAAAGTGGGAATGATCTGATTGCAAACATTTTTTATTATTATTGTTTTACTGTATTTACTCTCTAATGAATAAATTTACTCCGTGTTTCACAACTTAAACTTGCTTGTAGATTATGTATGAAAAAACCTCACTGGATCTATTTTGATTCATTTGGCTAATGTTAAATTCATATTGCAGGTCTGAGTTGAACCGTTTAAATTTTCAAGGATTCTATACTGTGGTTTTGGAAAAAAATGATGAACTCATTACTGTGGCTACTGTAAGGTACCTCACTTATATATAGTTATAAATGTATGCATTTTGGTCCCATGATTAGACCACTTCCCAGTTTTAGTCCTTACGATCCGAGTTACAATTCCCGAGTTACGATCTCCTAGACCCTGTCTGATCCGTGCTAGGATCTTGAGTTTAACAACCTTGGGGAAATCCATCATTTTTTCATCCATGTATTAGTTATGTTTCCTATTTTTTGACATAAAAAAGAAGGAAGTCATAAATCATCTGATCAAATCAAAATGGGACCATCTTTGGTCTAACTTTGGTAAAGAACTACCTTTGCTCCTCTTACACTTAGGATTCCTAGAATGATTCACATGGCACTATTAATGGAAACTATGTGTTTCTATTGATCTTGCATTGGTCCCATGTAAATAATGGTGAATCAAGCATGCATTTTTTTTCCAGCAGTTGCTTGCTGGAAATGTGATCAGAGGACAAAGAAGTGGTGAGGTTTTTAAAACGTGCAGCAAAAGTGACAAAAATGATGTTTCTGCGAAAAAAGTAAAGTGCCTAATAGTATGGGGACAAAATGTGAAAAAAAACTCTATAGTGTGATTGAACTTTCTTAATCTCCCATACACCTCCTAAACACTTTCCTGAACTACATTTCATGTTAAGGGTCCATGATGAGAAAGTAGCTGAGATCCCTTTTATTGGCACAAGATTTCAATATCGACGACTTGGAATGTGTCGGTTTTTGATGAATGTGCTCGAGAAGGTATTTCGTTTTTGTTGATTTTGCACCATATTGAAGTTACTATCTTATTGGATTTTTTTTTCTGGCTCTGGAGGAGATTGTCAAGGTCCTGTCTGTTGAATAATATTGAATTATTAATCCCCAAACCGTAAATCCTCTCAGTAGATTTAGAAGTTACTTTATTTTCTTTCCTCTTAGATTTCATCAAGGCTCATAGGGTGTTTAATATGTTACTTGTGTTTCCAGAAACTTAAGGAATTAGGAGTTGAAAGGTTAGTATTGCCAGCTGTGTCCAGTGCATTGGACACATGGACCACTTCATTTGGTTTCTCGGTAATGCAAGATTCTGAGAGATTGAGGTTCTTGAATTATACTTTCCTTGATTTCCATGGTACTGTCATGTGTCAAAAGATGTTAACAAGCACGGACTTGATTGTATTAGCAGGTAAACAGAATAAATCCACCTTTTGTGAAGTCTTTAGAATCTAATGTGTAGATTGACAACATGTTAATTAAAATCTTCATTGCAGAACTAGATCAGCAATCACTTGGTCATATTGACAATGGGAATGGTGATTTTGATGAGAGTATTGCAATCTCTGAGGTCTTTCAAGTGAAAAAGTTTGATGGTGATGAAAGTATTGGCAAAGAATCACTGGAGTAGGTTTCTCCTCTCTTGTGCCAAGTGCAGTGTTTTAATTTCATGAAAATATACGGATCATACTTTTATTTTGAACATATAAAAAAAATATTCCACTTTTGGTCCCATGACGATTAGGACAACCCCCATCTTTTTGCCATTTAAGCCACGATTCTAAAGTATAAGTATGAATTTCAGTTTGCCAAGCAACTATTGTAACATTGCAGTTATGAAGATATTACAGTATTTCGTGGGACATTGGGACATCAATATTACACTGTTAATATTCCTCACTCAGTATTTAATTAGGATTTATCGAACACATTGTTTTTTCTTGGTTCCGAAAAAAAAAAGTCTCTCTGTGCTTAGTACAGGGGTAATACTACGTACATCCGATCCCCCCTATCCCACCGTGGGTGGGAGGGTGCCTTTGCGGCACTGGGGTAATGATGATGATGACTGTTTTATTCTTGGTACAATTCTGAAAATAGGTCTATTAGATCTGAGTATCACCCCTTAAGATGGTAAAATGAGTCTTATTTTTCAAGAAACTGATGAAATACATGCAAAGTAAACCAGTCTTCTCTTAACATCAGTGCAGCATCGTTGACCTCTCACTGGTGATAAACTACTGTACTCGTGCTATAGTTCAAAGAGACAACCTTTTACTGATAGACAGACGTTAAAAAAATGCAGTATTCTTTCCTTATTGTATCTTCATGATAAAACCTCCTGTTGTTCTTGAATAGATTTGAGAACGCCTCCACATGTAGTGGACTGTCTGCCATGCTTTCAGAGTCGAAATGGAGGAGCATATCATACCAACAGCAGCAACATTCGATCTCCCTTCGTTCTCAAGGTACCCTCTCTATTATTCTTTTACATTCGCTTTCTCCCTCATGTAATGAATGCATTTTTATTGAACACAATGTGTTTTTGTGTGTGGTTTCTACATTAATCAGTACAAATCAACTCTTCCCCGCTACCTGGCTGATATGACTTTGGATTACTCGCCAGAGGGAGTGTTGGAGACTTTTCTCATTTCTTGGAAGCAAAGCTGGCCTAGGGATGGATGTAAGAGGGATTGTAGGATTGTACATAGGTCATAGGTTAGATCATCCGAAACTTGAATTTAAGTATCTTTTTGGCCAGTTTTGGTGTACAAATTTTTGTTTGAGTGCTCACATGTGATTTCCCCCCTTTTCATATAAATAGTGTGGATCCTATGGAATACTCCTGCATATTGCCACCCTAAAATATCAATTTTTCAATCGTTCTAAGCCCGTCATGAGTATTTAATATTTGAGTAGTTCCAATCTTAAACACTTCACCTGAACTTGTATATATAATGTGAAGTCCTGACGTAACTTTGTATGGAGATGGATATGAGGAGTCTTAGGTTGATGACTTCCATTGCACTTTGGAAGGGTATCATCCTAAGATCTACCCAAGTGGTGGAGTCTACGTCCCCTATCCTTTTTGAAAAAAAAAGGATATGAGGAGTCTTAGCACCAATCTAGTTGTGTACTTCATACAAGTGTTATATCATTTCAAATTTGAGAGTGTACTTCACACGACCGTCATATCATCTGCATCCTGGGGGAAGCTATCTTCGCTATCTCCCCTGTTAAACACATCATCCAGAAGAAAGCATAAAATGCTAAACTGTAACACCATGATAAAAAAATCCCAGAGATATCTGAAAATTTGAAATTCTTACTTTTCTTTTACTTTACCATTTCCACGGAAAAATATGGGAAACATTAAACTTGTTTATTGGAAATGCTCTGTGTATTTGAATAAGCATGGATAATTCTATGATGTAGAATAAGATTATATATTCAGAAAAAGGGGAAAGTGTCTCTTGGTGGGTTGAGGATGCATAACAAATGCATACAGGTTGAGCTTTACAAAAGGATGACACCCCATCCCTAAGGGGCCCCCAACACCGATCGGACGGTACATTGGGAGGATGTAAATTAGACTAGAATCACAATCTCAGAGATAGAAAGTGGAGCTGTGTCCCTGGTACTTGCAGAGGTTCTATGCATTTTTTTAGCAGAGTAACCTCTCATCGCAGTTGTCGTGATCCGAACTCGGGACCTAACCCTTGTGTCACTCCCTCGCTACCAGTTGAGCTACACCCACCGGTACAGGTTGAGCTTTACAGCTCTACTTGTAGTGAACATTCTAAGTTGTGATATGATTAGAAGAAAGGTATTTTAACGGTGATGAATTATAAAGGCTATATATGAGAACAAAAAGGATTGATGTGTTTTGCTTAGGGGTGGTCTCGATTCCGGTCCCGATTCCGATCCGGATTTCGGTCCCAGTCCTGATTCCCGTCCTGGTCTGTGCATGGAGAATCCCATAACTGACTTGGATGATACGGTTCTCGGTCCAATTCTGGGTACCTGGTTGGTCCCAGGCCGATTCAGGTAGTTTTGATTTTTTTTTAATTTTGTAATATAAATAACAAATGCAACACATTAAAAATGAAGTGCAGATTTATTTGACACTAAATTGACTTAGAGTATTAGACATTTTAAAATTACAATCGAGAATAGTTTAAATATATTTCCTAATCGTCAGAATTCCCGCCAGTGTCGGTTGTTGGTTGTTGTTTCCTCCATGAAGTGGCAATCTGGTGCTATGTTAACTTCTTGAATTCTATGACGGCTTTCAACCAATCGTGGAAGCAAATGAGCATCTCAAGAGATTCTGCGATCAACATTGTTCTGTAATCGGTTAAGACGTTGCTAGCTTCACAAAACTCTTGTTTCATGGCAACAGTTGAAACAAACGTTGACAACACTTGTTTCGGCCATTGTTGATAAAATGGAAAACATTCCTTGTTTCCCCTTCCACCATTGGAGAACGTTTCCTTGTTTCGCCATTTTTTGATAATAATACATTAAATATAAAGAAAGCTCATTAGTTGAGCTTTGTGCAATGACTCATATATAGTGTGTGTGTGCGCGTGTGTGTCTTTATATATATATATGAGTAGTGTTCCGGTCAGGAATTCCTGACCGGAACCGCCGTCCGGACGACGGCTTTTGGGGACCTTCCCGGTGGAGTTTTTTGATGAAATTTTTATGGCATGTTCTTCATCAAGTCTAGTTTATCCACAAAAAACCTCAGCTAAAAACTCAATCGGGAAGGTCGTTAAATGATTTTTACAAGATAACTGCGCCGGAAAATACATATAAAACGCAGGTAACTTGTAAAAATCATTTGACGACCTTCCCGATTGAGTTTTTTAGCTGAATGTTTTGTGGATAAACTAGACTTGATGAAGAACATGCCATAAAAATTTCATCAAAAAATCCACCGGGAAGGCGGCCAAACGCCGCCGTCCGTCCGGCGGTTCCTATCCGGAATTCTGGACATGAACTTTCCTATATATATAGGGAGTGGTTCCAGCGAGAAAGGACTCCCAAGAGAGAAATGAGAATGAATCTGGACCGTTGGATTATATTATGTGAAATTGAATTGTGCATTTGGTAAAACTAAAATGTGCATTAAGTGAAATTGAAATGTCCAGAATGAAAAATAAAACTTAAATGTGCATTACATGAAATTGAAATGTGCATAATAAAAGGCACAAAAATGCCATTGCATCCTAGTTTTCATTCTGCATGTTTTAGTTTCCCGTAGTGCACATTTCAGTTTTTCATAATGCACAATTCAGCTTCACATAATACCATTATTATGCCTTACATTTTGTGCTGCACATTTCGATTTCACCTAATTCACATTTCAATTTCACAACTAGACTTAATGAGGAACATTCTCAAAAAAAATTCATCAAAAAATTCCACCGGAAACCGCCCCAAACGGCGATGTTCGGACGGCGTTCAGACCGGGAGGTGCTGGACCTGAGAATTTCTCTCTCTCTCTCTCTCTCTATATATATATATATATATATATATAGATTTAGGATCACGTACAAACTAATCCTAATTTACAAAATGCAAACTAATCCTAACCATTGATTTGAATAATGTAACGGTCAAGATAGGAAACCAATGCATTAATGGCTGGTCCCATGTAATACGGATTATAGGAGAAATATTCTCCACTATATATATATTGTTATAATATGAAAGGAAATGAGCAGAAGATCAGGGAGAGAAAGTATAGTAGAACACTTAGTGATAGAGGTGTATTAGAGAGTGTGATAATGGTGTAATGAAGGTGTGTTGATTACAATGGAGAAGACTCCTATTTATAGGAGAAAAGCTAAGCTTATTAGGATTAGAGGATAATTGTGAACCACACAATTATCATCTAGAATCATAATTATGATTTCCTAATTATTTATACAATGGTGATAATAATTCCTAATCAGGAATAGTTGGAAGATGACTAATTCAATATATTTCAACACTCCCCCTTGAATGGTCATCTTCTAATTATTCTGGGGTATTAGTATCATAGTATTATAATGTACTGTCTCGTTAAAAACCTTTGTCAGGAAAAAACCCAGTGGGATAAAAACCTGGCGAAGGGAAAAAGAGTGCAGTGCATTATATTACTCCCCCTCAATTTAACATATATCTCGAAGACGACACATTCCAATTTTGTGGACCAGTTCTTCAAATTTCTTCGGTGCCAATGACTTTGTGAATAAATCAGCAGGGTTGTCGCATGACTTGATTTGTTTGACATCAACTGTTCCTTCTTTCTCAAGATCATGTGTGGAGAAAAGTTTTGGTGCTATATGCTTTGTTCTATCCCCTTTGATGTAACCTCCTTTGATCTGAGCTATACCTGCTGTGTTATCTTCATAAATCACAGTAGGATTACAAGTAAAAGATTTTATACCGCATTCATTTTGTATGTGCTGGATCATTGATCTCAACCAGACACATTCTCGACCTGCTTCATAAAGAGCAATTAATTCTGCATGATTTGATGATGTGGCAGTTAATGTTTGCTTCATTGATCTCCATGAGATAGCGGTATCACCATAGGTGAATACATATCCTGTTTGTGATTTTGCCTTTTGTGGGTCAGACAAGTATCCTGCATCGGCATAGCCAATTAAAGTGGCATTTGCACCATTCTTGAAATACAATCCAAGATCGATTGTACCATTGAGATAGCGGAATATATGTTTGACGCCATTCCAATGTCTTCTTGTCGGAGAAGAACTGTACCTGGCTAATAAATTTACTGAAAAAGCAATATCTGGTCGTGTATTATTAGCCAAATACATTAACGCTCCAATAGCACTCAAATATGGTATTTCGGGACCAAAGATTTCTTCATCATCTTCACAAGGTCGAAAAGGATCATCATGCACATTGAGAGATCGAACCACCATCGGGGAATTGAGTGGGTGAGCTTTTTCCATGTAAAACCGCTTCAAAAGTTTCTCGGTATAATTTGATTGGTGGATAAAAATACCATTTCTCAAATGTTCAATTTGAATGCCGAGACAAAATTTTGTTCTCCCAAGGTCTTTCATTTCAAATTCTTTCATGAGATATTTAGCAGTATTTTCAATTTCATTGGAAGTTCCGATTATATTCAAATCATCAACATATACTGCAATTATGGTGAATCCTGATTCAGATCGTTGAATGAAAACACATGGACTAATAGGATCATTTTTGTATCCTTCTTTAACCAAATATTCACTTAGACGGTTATACCACATGCGTCCAGATTGTTTTAATCCATATAATGACTTTTGCAATTTTATGGAAAATAAATCTCGAGATTTCGAGCTATAAGCATCGGGTATTTTAAAGCCTCCAGGAATTCTCATATATATATCTGTATCGAGTGAACCATATAAATATGCGGTCACTACATCCATTAGCCGCATTTGCAGCCTTTCAAAAACAGACATGCCAATTAAAAATCGTAAAGTAGTAGCATCAACTACTGAAGAATACGTCTCATCATAATCGATTCCTGGCATTTGAGAAAAACCTTGGGCAACAAGTCGGGCTTTATATCTAACGATTTCATTTTTCTCATTGCGTTTACGCACAAACACCCATTTAAAACCTACAGGTTTTACGCCTTTTGGCGTGTGGACAATTGGTCCAAAAACATTACGCTTTTCTAGCGATTTTAGTTCTACCTGAATTGCTTCATTCCATTTTGGCCAATCGTTTCTACGACGACATTCGTCAATAGATTTAGGCTCATTGTCATCGTGTTCATTCATTATATCTGTGGCGATGGCATATGAAAATATATCGTTAACATCAATATCTTTTCTATTCCATTGCATTCCATTAGAAACGTAATTGATTGAAATTTCAAAATTATCAACGTTT